TGTAACTAATAAATCTTTAATCACTTTAATCACTTGTAACTAATAAATCTTTGCAATTTGGAGGGCTTTTGCACCGAAATGTACACTTTCTGGCAGAAAAATTCAACGCCGGCAACATTCTCCCCCAGTAAACTATCGCCGAAAAGTGTACGTACTTTTCAAGGAGAAAGCCCTTATATCGCAAATATTAATTAAGTACAGAATCAAATTTGCAAGTGACTAAATTTACGGGACTAATAATGAAAACTACTGAAAATTACGGGACGGAAAATTGCAAATTTCCCTTTATAACTTCGTTAATATAATGATCTCTAAAACATATATAAAAAAAAACTAGTGTAAAAGTTTAGGATATATGGTGTGTGCATGCAAGGGACATCAATTTTGTTACTAACCGGGAACAGTTTAGTTAGAAAGAAAATAAAAGAAAATATGTGTACATTACAATGCTGAAAAACAACAAAACTGTAGGGATCATTAAATAGAAACTGCTATATTTAATTACATAGACTAATTAAACTTCAACTTATTAAACTCATTTTTTTATAAGTTCAACTAATTCGTCAAGTACTCAAGTCTCACCATAAGATCTATCATATGAGCGTATGCAACACATTTAGAAAATTTTAGTGTTTGAGCCCGTATTCGAAAGAGATTGAATGTCAATTCCATGTTTAAGAGAGTGTTTGCAATAAATATATAATTCAAAAAAGCGATTTCAATTTTTTTGCTTTAAGAAACTAAATGCAACATTTTCAAACATGTATTTCTATTTAAAGTACGTAGTTTGAAGCTATAAGTTAAAAAAATAGCTAGAGAGATGTTTTTTATCCCACAAGGCAAACTACTAAAATAGCTAGAGAGATATTTCTAATTGCTTTTTTTTTTTCTATTACACCGGATAAGACTTTTTGGCAAAACATTCTATCCCTTTATTAAAGGGAAAATGGAAATTAATAATCCAACCTTTTAGCGCTCTTCTTTCGATAATCCCACTTTTTGATTATTCATGAATAATCCAACCTTTGCATCTCATCTTCATTCACTAGTCCCTGACCGGTTGATGACCTGCAATTCCAAATTATTTTCTTATCTTTGCAAATCATTATACCATAAATCTCATCTTTCACAAAGATAATATTTTGCAAAGATAAGAAAATAACTTGGAATAACAGGTCATTAATCGATCAGGGACCAACGAATGAAGATGGGGTGCGAAGGTTGGATTATTCATGAATAATCAAAAGGTGGGATTATTTAAAGAAGACCGCTAAAAGGTTGGATTATTAGTTTCCATTTTCCCTTTATTAAATTGTTTTCTTTTCGAACATCAACAACTTTGACTATATGGAGAAAATAGTTCACGTTCAGAAACTGGAAGTAAAATGCGATCGCTTAAAGCATTGATTGTATACGTATGATATATGGAGATGGAGATCAGGAGATCCATCCATTAACAATGCAATGCTATAAAAGCACATGTCTCCTTTGGAACTAGGAGTGACACGGAAATCAATAAAAATTGATTTATGTGATTGATATTGAATTGATAAAAGAAGAATAAAGTAATTAAGAATGATTTTGAATCACACAAACTTTACCAAATTTGGTATGAGACAATGTAAAATGAGACAAACTTAACATAACAAAGAGAGTACTTTATATGTAATGGTGATTGCACAATTGTTTAAAATGATATATTTCCTCTCTTTATCCCGAAAAGGTTCGCTAAATTTACTTTTCTTGGTCAATGACAATCAACTTTGATCAATGATATTTGTTAATACGAAGTTATTTTGAATATGAAAATTAAATCAAAATGATTTTTATTCAAAATATTTTCATAAAAGTATAAAATTTATAAATTATATACAAATATAATAATCAAAATCATTGTCCAAAGTTTATCATCATTGACCAAGAAAAGTTAATATGACAATCTTACTGTTTGAAATGATATACTTCCTAAAATAGTACAAAAATAAATTTTATTTAGAAATATAGTGACGAAAATTACTCTGACAAAAATTTCGCTTGACATTGCTCCTACTATATGAAAAAAGTACTACATCCATCTCGGATTATTTCATTTACATTTTCGGGCCGTCCCAATAAGATTGTCTCATCAATTATTTGGTAATGTTTGTGTGGCTCTAAATCATTTTGATTTATTCTTACTTTATCAATTCAATATCAACCACATAAAGCACTTTTATTCATTTATGTGACAGTAAGGTAACAACATAAGGGTTACAAAGGGAGTATAATAAAGTTGGTTTAATTATACGGTTTAATTATCATGCCCAGCTGGTTTAATTAAGTTGGTTAATTATACGGTTTAATTTTAGCCCAGCTGGTTGTGAGGTTATCATGCCTAGTGGGAGGTCTCGAGTTCGAAACCCGCTAGGCACGCACCTAAGGGTTTCAGCTCTGATTACTCCAGGCTCCTTCCAGCCTCCCTCCCCAGACCCCCTGGGGTAAAAAAACAATGGGACATGAGGGATTAGAGTGACACGCAAATCAATAAAAAAAGATTTATGTGGTTGATATTGAATTGATAAAATAAGAATAAAAAAATAATTTAGAGCCGCACAAATTTTACTAAATTTGATATGAATCGAAAAGCTGGAATGTGACAATCATTGGCGGCGGGCCGGAGTAATATTTGGAGCAAGTAGAAATGATTCTGAAATTAACGAAACACCCAAAATCTAATTTTTTCTAATTTCATAGTATAGCTTACAACTTAGGGCCTGTTTGGTAACGGCTGCAACAGCTGAATAGGCTGAAAAGACTGAATATGCTGAAGTAAAAGTGTTTGGTAATATGTTGGCTGAAATGACTGATTGAATGTAAAATTACTTTAAAGGGTATTAACTTACTTGTGTTAAATATATGAGTGTGAATTAATTTTGCTTGATTAGGTGATTATAAGAATGCTTAATTAATTTATTAGATTGACTTTTTACACAATTTTTTCGAATAAACGTCATTATAACTTTTTTGTTAACAATATGAGTAAATTAATTATAAAAAATACCCTTTCTATAAAGTATACGGAGTATAAAAAACTCACATGCACTTGAATAAATTAAAATAAAATGAAACAAAACATACGGAGTGGGGTTTGTTTGAATTTTATTTTGCTAAAGTCCAAAATAGTAAAGTATATGGAGCACTCCTTGAATAAGAAGCAATTGATCTGGAGCTCCCAAGCGAGGGGCTTTCGTTCGTCCAAAACAACGAACACGTATTTCTTCAATATAAAAGGCTAAAAGGGCCTTTTCAATCTCAAATAGTACAATAATAAAAATCAGCTCAAAAAGTAGCCATATAGTTGCTTTTTCGGCTGATCAAAAAATTCAGCTCAAATAGCCAAATCATGAAGTGTTTGGTGATTTTTTTCATACTTTCAGGCTTTTCAGCCCATTTTGGGTGCTCCAAACACCCTCTTAAACTAAACAACATTGTACTACTACTACTATTTAGGGGCTGTCAAATATGGATATAGGAGCCGAAGGAGAGCAAGCAACAACAAGTCAACTGCAAATGACAGAAAGCCGCTATGGTAGTCAACATTTATTTCCGTTGTGCGATGATTTTGGTGTTCAGGTCAGGAATCAATCAATTAAGCTCCATCCACTTATTTGCACGGAATCGCAAAAATTATAAAGAAACAGAAAACGAACAACGTGCTCAAAAATACTCTTTTTTTTATACTCCCTCCGTCCCGAAAACAACTTCCCGGTTGGACTTTCACACACTTTTAGGAAATAAATTTGACTTTACTGTAGAATGCACTGTTTTGCACTGTTCAAACACTGTTTGACACTGTTTAAACAGTGTTTGGGGCACTGTTTATCACTTTTTTATGTAGATAATTTGCCAAATAAGGAAAGTATTGAAGTGTGAAGTTAATTTTGGGACATCCATTTAAGGAAAATGGGAAGTTGTTTTCGGGACGGAAGGAGTAGTTTCCTATATAGAAACATACTCTTTCCCGATGGTTTCTATGTTACATAGTGTACGTATCATCATAATACTTCAAATAAATATAGCGATGAACACGTGAAAAATTAAATTTGATGGATCAGTGATAAATTTAGGCACAAATTCAAAAAATTAAAATTAGTTTGACATACTTATTTGTTTACTTAACAGCAATAAAATACTTATTTGTTTACTTAACAGCTATTCCATATACGGCGTAATAAGGAATATTGTTTTTAAATCAAAGTGGAAATCGAGTACCATATCAGACCGGAATTTATTCGAACCAATTTATTTAATTTGTGCATCTTTTTTTTTACCCAATGAACACGATAAAAAGATAAGGTAACAAAGTCTATTTTTTATTTTTCAGCCAAATAGCAATTTTGGTGGTGGGGAGCAGTCATTGGAGGTGCTTTTAAATGCATCCGAACCAGTGATTCCGCAGCCACCGAGAGCCGCCGCCATCAACACCGGTGGGAATGACGAACAAACCAATCAAGGGAAGAGGAAACGCTCACACCGCCATACCACCCAGCAGATCAATCACATGGAATCGTAATAATAAATTAAATACTCGATATATTTCGTTTTTAAATAATTACTATTTGGCACGGAATTTGGCACGGATTCAAGGCATGCATCCGTGCCAAATCCATGACAAATACCCTACGGATTTTGGCAAATCCATGCAAACGCTCTGTGCCAAATCCGTGCCAAAATCGTTGTTTTTTTGTAGTTATACTATGTATATACTACTCCATAATTGCAGTTTAATTAGTTTTAATTAATTGTTTATATATTGTTTAGGGTTTTTAAGACGTGCCCGAACCCAGATGAAGAACAAAGAAAAGAGTTAGGTCGTTTAGTGGGGTTGGACCAATCACAAATCAAGTTTTGGTTCCAGAACAAGCGTAACCAAGTCAAGGTATAGTATATAGATAGTATTAGGATTACGACGTATATACTATCCTTCATACTGTGAGAATTGTAATGGAATTTATACACTATTCCTATAGTATATATTTGACTATATTTTTGTCATTATATTCCACTGCACGAACTGATACAGTATTTATCAATTTGGTGTAGGCTCAAAATGAACGCGAAGATAATGCACAACTTCGACTTGAGAACGAGAAGCTTCGGATAAAATTGTTGAAATACGAAAACGGTTTGGCTCAAGTTTGCTGTCGAAAATGTGGCTGCCAAGTCTTTGACGCAACGTTCATATTCTCCTTTCTTGGTGAAGATGACGCCGCTAACTTTCAATGCCACCGCGGCGGCGGCATGAACCTCCCCCCTCCCCGCAACCCGGCCCGCCCTTCTACTTCAGAACTTGCTCCGCCTCCATCCCCTCTCGGTGGCGTGCAAATAATAAACAGTCACGATAGATTTCCATCTTTGCCGCAGAGCTCCGGAAGCGTGATTGGATGTAGGCCGGGGCAGGGCAACCCGGCCATCGGTAGTTCTACGGGGGCGGGGATGTTAATGCCCCCGCCTCCGGTCCCTGCTTACCGCTATGGGTGCACTAGTGCTGCAGGCGCCAGACCCAGTAGAATGCCGCCCCCGGCTTACTTGTGCGGAAACCCCAGTAGTTCGGGGGCGGCGATGCCGAGGCCCCAGCTGCCGGCACGTGATTCGCACTCGGGGAGCACGAGTGCTGCACGGGATGCGCCCGATGGACACACAGCCGCCGTCGTGTCCCAGACTTTCCGGGAGAGACGGCAGTTGGTGGTGGACATGGCGATGAGTGCTATGGACGAGTTGGTAGAGATGGCCCAGCTGGTAGAGCCACTTTGGGTGGTTGATCCCTCCTCGTCTAGAGTGCTGCAGCTAGACGAAGCAGAATATGCTTCAAGATTTGTACTTTCTGCCCCAAACCAGCTGCAGCCGTCCCCTGGGTCTAATAATTATAAGGCTCAGGCTTCGTGTGGAAGTGCCATTGTGAGGATGAGGCTTAGCAAGTTGCTCCAGATTTTCTTAAATGTGGTATGTTATTTATAAGGCTAAACATCAAATAGACCCTCGAATTAACTTAAAAAGTGCATTCACCCCTTATATAGGAGGCTCTGTCCGGCCGTTGCCAATAAGGGCAGTTCCCGGTAAAAAAAGTTGATGAAATTTTTTGAACATCTTCTTTATTAAGTCTAGTTTACTCATTAAAATTATTGCATTCAAAGTCAACCTTTTAATGAATAACATTTCTTTATATACAAAGTAAACACTCCTCCATTTCTTCAAGGGAGTAATTGCTATTTCTCCCTTCGATTATTTAGATAAAAGTACATCTCGCGATTCATATTTTATCTTACTCATTTAGTCATAATAAAGAAAAAAAAAATGAAAATTACTCTTGTACTATTGGATGGACCTTATTTAGAGGAACAAGAAAAATATAAATTATGTAGTGCTCCATATGTTTTAGGCTTACTTATTTAGACAAAGATACGGAGTATGTCTTATGACTGAGAATGATTAAATAGTGGTGTTTAAGGGTATATATCCTCATTCATGTGATTACTAGAAAATGATGTTGGTCGCAAGACCAATTATTGTGGGGGAGCATGCTGGGTTGGGTGAGAGATTATTTAGTAGGATTATTCACATTGAATAATTTGGAATAAAATATGAATCTAGATTATTTGTGAAATTAGAGCTAATAACTAGCTCTACAGGACCCACAGAAAGATTTGAGATGATGATTGAATTAAGGAATTCTAGATGGATTGAGATTATTCTTGAAAAAATATATGTGGCGATAAATTAAAATAATTATGATTATACATGATTGTCAGGACAAAATGAAGATGTTCTAAGACATGGGTGTATGATTGTATTTAAAGGGCAATAATAAGCATGTAAAACATGTTTTCATTTTTAGACTTTATGTTAATCCCACAAAATTTGAAAGGTTAATAGTTATTCCTTATTAAATACTACTAGTAGCTAGTAAGCTTCTTCTAAAAACAAATCAGATCATAGGTAGAAAATAAATTATTTATTAATTAATTTATGTACTGTTCATCACTAGAGCAATTGGGCAAGTGTGTTCTCTAGCATTGTCTCAAAGGTTGTGAGGGAAGATTTTCTGTCAATTGGAGTGGCAGGGACCCACGACGGAGCTTTACAAGTGGTACGTTCCATCATTAAACACATAAATGTTATGTATACGAATGAAATAATTGAATTAATTGAATTTTATACAAGTACAGTTAGATGCTAGAGTAATTTATTACAAAATTTAGATAAATATTTTGTACCTTCTAAAATAGTGGCTATTTGCAAACTACACATACACAAAGCAATTAGAACTTTATGTGTTGCAAAATTTTGGTAGCATTATTTTTGTGTTTAATGAAATTACAGATAAGTGCTGATTTTCATGTTCCAACACCACAAGTTACACCAGAAAGCCATTACTTTTTGAGGTATTGCAAGAAGAATTGCTCGAATGGAACGTGGGGAATTGTGGACGTTTCCATAGATAGACGTTTGGGTATGACGCCTGTGGGAAGAAGCTCGAGGCGGCCATCTGGTTGCCTCTTTCAAGAGACTCTAAACGGCCATACAAAGGTATGGAAGTAATAATAACATGCATGTGTGTGTACGTGTGTATTTCTGTGTATATATATTCTATATCAATTAAGAACAGGACTTAACGTTAGAACGTGAGAACAACACATTTACCCTCAACGTGATGCACACAGAAGCTCGCCTACTGCACTTTTTTTCGAGTTGTCATAACTTTTACCAAAATGTCACCGTATTATTTAAAATTGCTTAATTTGAGCAAAGTTAAAAATGAGCAACAAAAGAGCTCCATTGGTCATGACTTTGATTTAAATGTGAGAGTTCTCACGTTTTCACGCACGTCGGGTAGTTCTGACATGTAGGCCCGTACAAACGTGCCTATCAGAGGGCCTTACCAGAGGAAGTTTTTGATGAAATTTTTTGAGCATGTTCTTAATGAAGTCTTGTTTATCCACAAAAATGTTCAGCTAAAAATTAAATAGGGAAGGAAGTCAATCATTTTTTGGAAGATAACGGCATTTTTATATGTATATTTTGGCATAGTTAACTTCCAAACTTTATTTGACTGCCTTTCCGATTAAATGTTTAGCTGAAATTTTTTGTGGATAAACTAGACTTCATTAAAAACATGCCCAAACAAATTTATAAAAAAATTCCATCGAGAAGGCCTTCTGGTAGGCAAGTTTGGACGGGTTTCCCATGAGAACTACATGAGGTGATATTCCTCTCTCTCTCTCTCTCTCTCTCTCTCTCTCTCTCTCTCTCTCTCTCTCTCTCTATATATATATATATATATATATATATATATATATATATATATATATATATATATATATATATATATATATACATATATATATATATTCAAACTAAGACTCATATAATGATCATATTAAAAAATAAAAGAATAAAAATATCCCTAAATATATAGGAATGCATAAATCCCATTTTGGGAATAAAAATGTGATACCTTTGTGGTCTTGTTTGAGAAAATTTATTATGTTTTACTTATGTTTGTTAATGTGTTCCATGTTATTTTATTAATAACCAAATTAAATACATTAAACTTTTGTTAACCGAGAGGTTTAGTCATGTAAAGATATGTGGTTATAGTAATAATATGTGTATAGTACATTTTTACAAACATGTGAAGTATTGAAAGATATTCCGTCTCTTATCCATTTATAGTCGTATGAATCTTAAATAGTATCTTTATATATGTAATAGGTCACATGGGTTGAGCATATGGAGGCACATGGGGGCAATGAAGCTGTCAATATTTACAAACGTCTACTTTGCTCTGGTATGCCATTTGGGGCAAAGCGCTGGATTGAGATATTGGATAGCCATTGCGAACGTATTGCTTGCATGATGTCCTTAAACATGCCCTCTCCTACTAATCTAGGTAACATAATCTGATTGGTCTTTATTCAAAGGTAGATTCTATGGTACCCATAAGGTACCATACCTTTGTCCACATGGACCAATGAGAATGTAGCAGTTGAATTATTTAAATCTAAATTAAAAAAGATATAGTGATGTGGTCCAATCAAATGAATGATAGGTACGGTATCCCATATTTTAGAAAGGTACCGAAGTTGTCACCTTATTCAAAACCATACTCCCTCTCATCTAAATCTCACGGCCGTTTAATTGGGATTTTAGCATGTTAATTTGAGCATGGTGCTTGCAAATGATACCTTTAAAGCATACGTACACATGTGAGTTATAGTACACATGAATACAAAATGAACACATCAACACAAAATATGCATTATAATAAGGATGAACACATGAACACATGAATTAGCTTGTTACGTTTCTACATGTACTCTCCCTTAGGATGTTTTTAATTTGAATGATTTTAGTTCTAGACAAGATTGAATCATATCAGAACAAATTAGATCAAACCAAGAGAATAATAAAATACTACACTAGATCCTTAATAGACTAAAACAAACAAGACCAACCCAGACCAGATTAGAAAATTTCACTCCAATTAAAAATATTTTTAATCGCATATCTTTTAGCCATCTTCGCTCTCTTAATTGGTGAAAGGTGTTAAAGACAAGCCTTTGAATTTAATTCCTTAAACATTATGAGTTTGTCGCAAATTTTCTCAAAATGGAATCCCATTACCTTCATCGTATCTCAAATTAGAATGCATTTACTCTTAAAAGATAAGTTTTTATTGTTTTTATTCTTTTAATTCTTCTATTAGAAGTTAATAAGTACTGGTTTGGAACAACATAATTACTCCTATAAATTAACTAAATGTTCACGTTTTACTCATTTTTGGAACAATTTATTTAATATATTTTATTGGAAATTGAATCTTTTCTATTTTGAATGAGTATTTTTTAAAGAACATTTATTTTTCATTTATTTTATAATTTATGTTGTATACAATCCATGTTTGGTCTCAGTGAAATCCCCTTACTCAATTACTAGAATTAAATTATATGCATGATATTATATTACTTTCCATGTGATTTACAGCGGTAATTAATCCAGAGGGGAAAAGGAGCATATTTAAACTTGCAGAGAGAATGGTTAATGGCTATATGAATGCGGTTAGTGGTTCCATAGTGCATCCATGGAAAGTCATATCCGGGACTGGTGTGGGTGTTAATGATGTGAGAGTCATGATAAGGAAAAACATTAATGATCCCAGGACACCTTCCGGAACTATCTTATGTGCAGCAACATCTTTTTGGCTTCCTTTGAAACCAAAAAATGCATTTGATTTCCTTCGCGAGGAACGTAACCGACTTCAGGTATTCACTCTCTCCTCTACTTCAAATATTTATTTTTCAACACAATTTAGTTTATAGGCCATACCACAAGCTAAGTATACATTATTCGCAATTTACTAGAAATAACTTCTTTACTATAATTAACTTTGTCGTTGTAAATATGATTAGTAAATGAGAATAAATTGCGTACAAGTAATACTTCCAAAACCGTTTATGTGCACGCAAACATTCTTGTTTGCTGAATATAAATTTAGAAAATTGGCATTATATATAATATTTTGTACATATATGATCAAGGTATTAAAAGATATAGTTATGTGAGAACTCTTCTTGTCAGGCCGGCCTGACGGGAACCTCCATCCAGCCGAGCCTGTTTGGGCACCTTCCCGGTGGAATTTTTTGATGAATTTTTTTGAGCATGTTCCTCATCAAGTCTAGTTTGTCCATACCAAATTTCAGCCCAACATTCGACCGGGAAGGCATTCAAATCTTTTTTTGAAGTTGACTGCGTCAAAATATACATATAAAAACGCAGTCAACTTCAAAAAAAGATTTGAATGCCTTCTCGATCGAATTTTGAGCTGAAATTTGGTATGGACAAACAAGACTTGATGAGGAACATGCTCAAAAATTTTCATCAAAAAATGCCACCGGGAAGGTCGCCAAAAGGGCTCGGCCGGACGGCTCTCCCGATCAGGCCGGCCTGACATGATGATTTCTCATAGTTATGTTACGACTTTTGTTTATATAGTAGTTAAAATTACTTATATTATGATATGAAACACTTTAAAAATGGATCCCAAGTGCTCCCTACTTATAATATATGTTGTTGTTTATTCTACACTACATCTTAGATATATGTGATCAGTGTAGTATTATTACGAATGACGGATGTGCCGGTATTCATAGAATAATTTTAGATTGCATTTATAATTAAATTTGTTTAAATATAGTTCTAATATGTAGTGCAATAATATCATTTGGGATATCATGTAGCTAATAGCATGTTGCTAGACAATGTGCAACTAACTTTAGATTGCATGTATAAATTAATTTAGGGGAATTTTGAGTTTGCACCCCACTTTTTGGGTGATATTGGACCTTGCACCTCATTTTCAAAACTTTTAGACTTTGCACCCTATCTACAACATTTTGTGAAGAAAAATTCTTAAATGAGGTGCAAAGGCAAAGACATTTTAGGGGAAATAGGGTGCAAAGTCTAAAAGTTTTGAAAATGGGGTGCAAAGTCCAATATCACCCAAAAAATGGGGTGCAAAGTCAAAATATCCCATTAATTTAACATGCGATTTATGGTACTCAGCAAATTGATATATAGAATTTTGAGAACATGCCATAATTTAGGATGTTTTTACTTAGACTTATTTTAATGTCAAATCAGATAAGATAAGATCAGATCTGACTTAACAGGACTAGAATAGACTATGTCAGACCTAAACAGATCATACCAGACTTCGACAGTTGAAAAATACACATACACTAGTTATCTACCGAATCAAACCACATCATAAAATTTCAGTCCAATTAAAAATATTCTTAATTTTGTAATTTAGAGTGATACTTGTTTCTAGTCCTTTAAGTTTAATTATTATTTCACCTAACTAATAAATTTGGCCAATGAACTCTTATGCTGAAACGTAAAAGAATCGTCAAAAAAAATTGATGGACTTAATCTCTAATATATTAGAGATTTTATGTTGTTTTTTGTCTATGAACCTGTCCTTGGTATTTTATCAAATTGATCTATTAGTTACAAGACATAATGTGCAAGTGAGTAAAATTATCTGACTAAATAATAAGTCACATTAAATTATTGGAATAAATTATTTATAAATTTCTATTTTAAATACTTTGTGCACTAACTTTTTTATTCTTTTTTTCAACTATAGTGGGACATGTTTTCCGGTGGAGGCTACATGGCAGAAATAACCAGCATGAGATATGACAGGGAAATCGGCAATAGTGTCTCATTATACATAGTATGACACAACAAAAAAGCTTATTTCTACTTGTGTGATTTAATTCTCACATTTCTTGTATACATGTAAATCCCAAATTAAGATCCATAAAAGACAGGTTTTTATTTACAAAAGATATCCCTGATTTGTGAGCATAAATAAAAACTAAAATGCAAAATAACACTAACTTGAAAATATGTAATATTCAAAGTGGATTTAATAATTGTATGAAAATAGTATATTTGTTTTCTTTTATTCAATTTTACTACTATGATAGAGAATTAGAGATTCCAGTGACTAAAGGAAATCTTTTTACAAACTATTGCAGGGTGAGAATTGCTCTCAGGGTAACACAATGATATTGCAAGAAAGTACCACCAACTCCACAGGTTCCTTTATCATTCACTCTTCAGTTGACATGACGAAAATGAAAGGCGTTTTTATGGGTGGAAATCCTAAATTTGTATCACTTCTTCCTTGTGGAATCATTATACTATCCGATGGAGAACTAGGAGATACCTCTAGTGGGTCTCTTTTGACAATCTCATCCCAGATTTTAGTTGATCCGGATCCTACTGCACAATTACCTCCAGAATCGATTAAGAGTGTTAATCAGCTAATGACTCTAGCGGTCAAAAAGGTCAATTCATTCCTTTGTGGAAGTGTTTCCATTGATAATGCAAACCTTTAATTAGACTTTTAGAAAATGTTATTACCATTGATGTTGTAAATGCTTAATTAGACTTTTGGAAATTATAGCACTTAGTATTACATATATTTAATTAGTTTTTTCATGCATCTTAATGAAACATTGGGTGAAATTCTATAATGATTCTAATATTTGAGAATATCTATTATTCTCATTGGTTATGAAACTTACAACGACTATTCGCACGAAAGCAATGTATGAATACTTGTAATATGCATAGTTGTACATTCAATATTCGAATATTGCAATATGCGAGAATTCAATGACTTAAGTCATTAAATTAGACCCTATGTTTCATACGAAGTATTGGGTCCCTATTTTCTACTACATAAAATATGAGAGTTGAGCTCTAAGATGCATGTATAGAAGAAGCCAAGAAGGTAAATGTAGTGTAGACTTTTCTCCCTTCTCTCACACTCAAAAGCATTGGGCCCAGGGAATGCTTCAGGTGAGTGTGGAAAAGAAATCCCAAAAGTGCATAGTTTCTCCTCCCAAAATGACTTCTCCTGTGGGAGAACAACGCATTAGATACTTACCTAAACCAGTAGGGCCTTGAGCGGATCCCACATTCGCTCCAAGACGTTGGTCTATAAGGATGTTTTTACTTGGAATATTTTCAGTTCCAGACTAGACGAGATCAGACCAGACCAGACCAGACTAGACTTGGATAGTTATAAACATACACAGAGACCTAACATTCCCAGACCAAATCAGTTTAGACCAGATCAGACTAGATCATATCAGGCAAGACAAGACCAAACTAGCAAGTTACAGTCCAAGTAAAAACATCCTAACTAGAAAAGTAAATGCTTGAGCTTGAGAAGCTTCTGTGAGCTTGAGAAGCTTCTCGTTGAGCTGAAGAAGCTTTTAGTCCAGTAGGTCCGTAAAAGTCACTAGGATAAGCACTATCATTGAACCAAACAAAACAACAAGCGGTGAAACCAAATAAGGATAAAGCCCATAAACTATAAGATAATCAAGCTATGTAATCTTTTGTAGATTAATTCTATTTATAGATGGAGAACAATTTTCCTTCAGCACCGAACATTTTTTTGTCGGGCCTGGTTGTGAAGGGTCACAAAAACTTTCAAAACTATTCCTCCACATTTGTTAAACTCCCAAACACGAATAGGAGGGTCATCAGCCCCCACATGTCGATCTTCTCATCCCTCCCAAACACCAACTCTCAAACACACCCTTAAGGTTTTGCCATTTGAACCATGATTTTGATTAGTATAATATTATGAAAGTTATAGATAGACGAAGTGTGATCGTGAGGAAGGTTGCTGGATTTCCATGCCGGAAAATTGTGAAATAATATAGTGTTATATTAAGATCTGAGTTACTCCTCTTATGAGATTGACCTTGTAGGATGGAACCTCAACTTTTAACATGATATCAGAGTCAAGTTGATCCATAATCATGGTGTGAGCTCCTATGAAAAATGGCGATGATTATAAAAAACACAATGACGAATCAATGAAAAAAGAATTGCAGCATGATCCAGACGGAGTGTCTGATCGTGAGGAGGGTACTGAAGCCCTACACAGGAAAATTGTGAAATAATATAGTGCTATATTAAGATCTGAGTTACTCCTCCTATCAGGTTGACCTTTTAAGATAGAACTTCAAGTTTTAACACCAATCTTATACTTCTCTGAAAATACTTTTAACATAAATCTTATACTTTTCTGAAAACATATCCATATCATTTTTACATAGTAAATTAATTTCTATTAAAATATATAGTTGGTCAAAATTGATGAGGGAGGGAGGGATTATTTCAATTTCATCCGTTTTAAATGGATCTATAAGGAGCAAAGATTAACACAAAATTTATGTTTGGTCTTTGGTGATAGCGGGACCTTCACTAGAAATTCAACACATGTGTGGCGTAACTCAGGTCAACAGAAACGGATAAACTAAAGTTAGGTCTAATTAATTGAGTATTTGTTTGTATCTTGTGTATATGTTGTTATTATAAATATTCGCATTAAAATATTTATAGCTTTATGATAACTTCTTATAACTTACTCTGATCCGTAACTTTTATGATAATTCATAACTAAATTTGAAAAGAGATTGACAATTTTTTGAAATCGGACCATAGTATACTTAATGCTTCACTATCATTATAATAAGCGGCCAAATACTGAAATGGGCAATACGGGACATATATGTGACAATTAAAGAACACAAAATCACTTCAAAGTTAAAGCACAACATTATTTCATGAAATATTTGATCGGCCGAAGTGATTTTGGAGGTGGAATTCGGACTAATTACTTGTTTTGAATAAAACTGATAACGCAATTTGAAACAAAAATAGTACGAAGGATAAATAAAAATACATAAATCATGTGGATAATCGATCATGCGGGACCCTCCAAAAGAAGTAGGTCCATGTTTGAATTATGTGACGGCATCATCTATTACTCTGTAGTCCGTATTATATCATCGCGTAACGGACACATGCAAAAATGTCGAACTTTTATATTCGAGTAATATATAAGGGTACGTAATTCTTTGATAAAACATTATTCAAAATAGGAGTAGAACACAGGAAAAGTTCTAAAGAATAATTAAATATATTTATGCGTAAAAGTAATAAAAGAGTAAAAAAATTCATGAGTAAAAGACTATATGAGTCCTATTTTTTAATATGAAACTAATAGTATATATTCTACTTATTTAGGGAATTTTCTCTCTTCGAACAATCAATTTAATTTCTTTTCTTTTTTAAAATAAAGTCAATTTAGTTTCTTGTTAATCTATTGAAATTTGTATGCTAATTTTTGTGGTATTCAGATACATTTTGATGATTGAATGCGACTTTTAGTTAAACATCTTATAAGTAAATTGTATCTTCTAAAAACTATGCCTATATTAAAATGAATTAATTCAATATGTCAAACTCTTATAAAATATTGTTAAGACTTAGTTCAGTGTGGGACAAATACTTTAATACACACCCTCAGATCGAACATGCCTGGACAATATCGGGGTGTATAAATAGGCCAAATAGACCCTTAACAAGATACGACCCTTAATCATGGGTGCTAAACAAGCAGTCAAATCATAACCGGACTTGGCTCTGATATCATGTTAAGACCTGAGGTTTTATCCTAAAAGGTCATAGTAGTCCAAAGCCTTATATAGTATTTGATTGTTTTAATAGCTTTCTGATGTGGGGTAAATACTTTAACAGATATATAAAATTTATGCATCCGTTTTTTATTCTTTGAAAAATGCATCAATTTGTCATACTTTTAACTAGTCATGCATATAACACATTGAAGTAACAAAAATAGTAGTCTGGAAAATCATGTATCTTAGTCTTATAATTAAACATGCAAGTAAGTTTGTTAGATCTGTAAATTATACAAATATATTAAACATTTTTATTTTATTCAATAATTAAAATAGTTCTTCTAGGGTGTTATGTGCATGATTAATTATAACAAATGAGGACTTGATGTACTTTTAAAACCACAGGGGTTAGTGCTCAAAATTTATATCAGTAGCAGATTTAGTGCATTAAAATCTTAGATAAAATAATTTTAGTATCCTTCAAAATTCATAAATCTTAAAAATATAGTTTTAAAAGATTACCCACAATTGGAATAGAACATCTATCAATTTTACTAAAATGATTAGTTATCATTTTCAGAATAAGGCTTATTTATTCCTAATAAAATAGAAAAACAATTAAAATTTACCATTGTAAGATAGAATGAATCTGATGGCTTTGCCGACCCTGGCATTGCAGAAATTGAGAAACAGAGAGCCGCAAATAGTTTTTTTTGTCCTGAAATAAGCACTTGTGGAAGTGCAATAAATGTCGGGGAACATTTACCAGATTTTTTTTAAAGAAGTGGAGTTACAATCCCTCACATACGTGGAGTTACAAATTAAATTGACTTTATCAAAAAAAAAAATTGATTGTTCAGAACGAGAAAATTCCCTAAATAAGAATACCATTAATTTCATATTAAAAATAGGACTTATATAGTCTTTTACTCATGAATATTTTTACTCTTTTATTACTCTTACTCATAAATATATTTAATTATACTCCAGAACTTTTCCCATGTTCTACTCATATTTTGAATAATATTTTATTCAAGAATTACATACACTTATATATTACTTGAATATAAAAGGTTGACATTTTTGCATGTGTCTGTTACATGATGATATATAATACGGATTACGCAATAATAGATGATGTCATGACATAATTCAAACTTGGATCTACTTCTTTTGGAGGCTCCCACATGATCGATTATCCACATGATTAAGATATTTTTATTTATCTGTCGTGCTATTTTTGTTTCAAATTGTGTTATAAGCTTTGATCAAAACAAGTAGTAGTCTGAATTCCACCTCCAAAATCTCTTCGGCCGACCAAATATTTCATTAAATAATGATATGCTTCAACTTTCAAGTGATTTTGTGTTCTTTACTTGTCACACATGTCCGGTTTTGCCCATTTTAGTATTTGACCGCTTATTTATAATGATAGTGAAGCATTAAGTATACTATGGGATCGAAGTTATGAGAAGTCATCATAAAGCTAAAATTATTTTTATGTGAATATTTATAATATCAACATATACACAACTCTACAAACAAATACAAAATTAGTTAGACCTTTCTAGTCCAAGTCCCGTTGTCACCAAAGACCAAAGATAAGTGATAGAGTATTAATTCTAGAGAGAAGTGAGAGCTAGAGAGAGAGAGTGAGTAATTGTATTTCTCAACCTGGAACCCCCCATAATTAGCCCCATGGGGTCTATTTATAGGTAAAAATGTGGATTTGGGCCCCTAGCCTTGGGCTTAGGAGGCCCATTACAATAATCATGCCTTCTTTGGGCGAATAAGGCCACTAATGGGCTGT